TTTTTTGTGTCTTTTCCTTTTTGGTACATGGTAAATAGGTAATTGGTACCAAACACTTAGTATTACGAGTCAAACTGTCGTTACATTTACGACCGGTTACATGTTGTTTTTTATCATAGGCAACTCTAGATTGTAATTTAAAATAATTTTTTTAAGTAAATATGTCAAAATTGACATTAAATTATTGCTATTCACAATGCCATGACTTTTCAATAAAAGTAAAAAAAAATACCGAGGGTGTGGGTGTGTCATTTAAAAACCAAGTTGTAGTCATTTCGGTGAAACAAGAAATAACCGAACTAATTGAATACCGTTCAATCAAGCCACTTTGAAAAACACCCGGTATATTATAATTTTTTCTGAAATAGATTTTACAAAATTCTTAAATTTGCTATTAATAATGGATCATAATGTCATCATATAAATTACTTTATGCTTAATAATAAATAAATTTTGTTTTGTCCATAGCAAAACTTGTTATAGTGTAAATAAAGTAAAAGAAGGATAAAAATTGACAAAAATTCAGAACAGAGTTGCAAGCTGTTAAGAGTATTCAGATGTACGTAATATTCTTTCTTAACAAATGTTGAAAGGTTTTGTAATAATCACTAAAAAATATAATATAGGATCAGCCAAAAAAAACTGTTTGAACATAGTTTTTTTATTTTGTTACATATATCTTGTTCTTACCTCTGTAAAAACATCTCCTACCAAATTTGTGTAGCCCAACTTCGGAAACCACTGACAATTATGTAACATAGAATCATTTTTTTTTGCAAATACTAACCGTTATATATAAAAAAGTTAAATAGAATTTTAGGGCAGAATCGAAAAATAAAATAAAAGTTAATAAATAAGACGTTTGCATTAAAAAACATTGTTACATTATATCCGGCACATTTTTTGAAGCACCCATTATACTCAAAAATAATATTTGAACTGTGTCTCTTAAGATTCTCTATGCCCTTTTTTTTTGAATTCCCAACAAACAGAATAATTAATTTATTTATTTCCTGAATCTCATTTTATAATATATTCGGAAAGAATCAATCAAGTATCTTATTTTTATAATTATTAGAATAAATTCGGATTTAAAGGATAGGGATATGTAAGTGTGACTACCTACGATGAAAAAAACCGGCGTCAGAGGTGGCCCGGAAATGAAATTATCGATAGTCCAGTATAGTATGGTACGTAAAAAACAATAGACGTATAGCGCATTGCACCGGTTACTAAGTATATATATCATATATATATAAAACAAACGCATTTATTAATATACTGTTCACTTGTAGATTTACATGGTATGAAAAATTCGCATTGTAATCTCTGAAGGTCCTATCATGGTCCCACCAATGGTTGGTTTAAAGTGGCGAGTACGACCATTTAGCAGTCACACCTATAAATAATTTAATAAAATAAGAATATAATAAACAAACTTATTTCTTTTTGATTTTTTAAAGCGAGTTATATGTGTTAAGTGGTTTTTGATTATTTTAGACTAAATTTTTTAGACATATGATTATTTTAGACCAGATTGTCTGCCCATTCAAATGTCTTTCAATTATAATGTAGGAATTTCTTAATATGTTATTAAAATTGGAATTCTTTTAAAAGTTTCATTTTCACCAAACAAAACTAAGTATGTATAATAAATTGAAGTATAATCAACTATAATGCACGATATATACTGGTGGCGTCAAAACTAGATGTTGGGTTTTTCTTGATTATTTCAAAGAGAACTTATGACATAAACGTAGTTTTTTCCAACTTTGTTTTGAAATAATTTTTAATTTAAATCCATAAATCGATATTTCAATACAGCAATGTCCTCTTTTGGAATACATAATTATTTTTTTTTTTTTTTTAAAATAAATAATATTTACTGTACGCCAAGTAAAAAATAATTAGAATTATTTAGACATCCAATTCTTAATTTTTGTCGCTGATAAATATGTAGATACATCACTTTAAACGACAAACCTATATAAAAATTGCGAAAACAAATCATGTTATTCTCAGAGCAATTATTGGGGAGGAAGAGAGACTATTAATTTGGGATATAGATCT